CTTGCACCATTTCTCTTCGTGAAATGATGCAAGTGGCGCAAGTGGTTGAAGTGCCGCAAGCGGTTCAAGTGGTGCAAGTGGTCCAAATGGTGCAAGATTGCAAGATTGCCAGATTTCAGAATGAGCAATCTTATATGCAATCTTGCCAACCCAAACTGGCAAAACAACAAGATTTGCAAAATCTTGGCCCATTGGCGACCCCCCAAACAAATAGCAAGATTTGCAAGATTGACCAAGATGGGCAAGATGCGCAAAATCTTGGTCCCAAAGAGTGCGCTTCGTTCCCCAGCACAATGTAGCAGTAGCAGTAGTAGTAGCAGCAGCGGCAGTAGAAACGGTACGAGTAGTACGAGGAGTAGGAGGAAACGGAGTGGGAGTGCAAGACAGAGTAGGAGAAGGTCGTCTGCTGCTGCTGCTGCTGCTGCTGCTGCTGCTGCTGCTGCTGCTGCTGCTGCTGCGCTTGGGGCTTCTACTCCTCCTGCTACCGGCCTAGCTTGTGCTGCCAGTTGCTGTCACTCAATGAAGCCAAGGCCAAAGCCATGAAGCCAAGCCAATGTCCAAAACTGCGGCCAAGCTGCAGCTTCGAAGAGCCCGGCAGTATGGGGTCCGGTGCCCATATTGACTTGGGCAAATGCACCTCCATGCTCGACTTTCTTGAGACTCCAACTGAGTGCATGATGTCTTTGATTCAACCAGGTTATACTATACTGCTGTTATGACGGCTATCGTTTGTGATGGAGACAGTCATGCTGACTCTGTTCATGATTATGATGATGAACATTATGATGGGAGGCCAAAAGGGGGTTTAAGATTCTTGGGGTAGGGATTCCTTAATATGAACCCTATTATGAGAACCCTAAGCCCTACTAAACCCCCATAGGCTAAAACCCCTTTTGGCCTCCTATGATCATTACGATGGCGAAGATGACACAGCAGAGGCTGAGGATGAGAAAGCACCGTCCCGAGCCTTGATGCCTCAGTTAAAGCGCAAGGGGGATTTTATGCACGACTCTTAGACCTTCTTTTTATTCTTCTTCTGCTTATTCTTGTTATTATTATTCTTATTATTCTTATTATTCTTCTTATTCTTATTCTTATTGTTATTACTACTATTACTACTATTATTACTAGTACTACTATGAACCCAAACCCTAAACCACTAACCATATAAACCACACAGAACACATTACAATGCGAATCCCAAACCCTAAACCCTAAACCCCTTTGGCTTCGGAGCCCAGGTCTGCGGGCTAAGGGCTGCAGAGGCTGAATATAGGGGCCCCTACAAGCATGACACGGTTTGGTGTATCTCAGTCTACAAGTCTGTACTAAGGGGAAGACCAAAGACTAGCATTACAGACTTTTCAGGCTTCTAGATTGGGAGGGTCAGCTCCGAACAATCGCACAAGCCAGAAGCCAGACCGTCTCGGCGCATGGCGCGGAGGCCTAGAGACACCCATGAGCCACCTGAATGCCCGGAACGCTTTCAAGGTCGTGGGTTTAGGGTTGAGGGTCGAACAAAAGCGACCAAAACAAGACAGCACTGCCACTTTTGACAACATCGACCAGCAACAACAATACTGACCACGGCGTTCATCGCCACAGCAATACAATGAACTGCAACTGGCAGTTGCCATGGAAGCAGAACCCTAAACATTAAATCCTTCACCCGAAACCCTAAACCCTTGACCCGAAACCCTTAAACCCCTAAACCCTAGACCCTAAAACCCTAAAACCCTAAACCCTAAACCCTATTAAACCCCCCAAACCCTGCGCAGAAAGCCACCGGAAGAGCTCCGTAGCTGCCAAGCTCGACCCATCCTGGTCCTCGCACCAAGGGTTCCTTACTGAACTTACAACCCTAGCAAAAATTAAAATTTTAGCTGTTTCTCAGGGATTCTAATAACCAAAAATTAAAAATTATTTCTGAGTACCCCTAAGGTTCCTTTAAAGTGATCTAGCAGGGCTCTACAAGGGTGCCATAAGGTTTCTATAGCACTGTAGGGGCTTGGGGTTTATGGGGACTGGGGATGATACTAATGGTAGGGTTTAGGGTTTGGCGTTTAGGGTTTAGGGTTTTTAGGGTTTGGGGTTTAGGGTTTAGGGTTTGGGGTTTAGGGTTTAGGGCTTAGGGTTGGGGGTTTAGGGTTTAGGGCTTAGGGTTGGGGGTTTAGGGTTTAGGGTTGGGGTGTGAGGTTTAGGGTTTAAGGTTTATTTGAGGCATTCTCAGGTCTTTGGGGGTGTCTGAAGCGGTTGAATCGCATTTAGGGGTTTACGGCTTAGGGGCCTCGATGATGCAGCTTGGATCTGGGATACTTTGCAAACTACGTTTCAGAGCCCTACTCAAAGGATCATGGGAATTAGTAACTAGGGTTATAGTTAGGGTAACTATACTTCTAAGCCCAATTTAGGTACTTATAACCTTACTTACTAAGTCCCATGATCCTCCAAATAAGCCCGACATGCCCTGTGAAACCCTGCCAAACCGGATATAATCCCCTCCAAACCCCTACAGCTGGCCAGACACCTCAATTTAGGCCACCAGGTTTATGGGCTTGGGGTGCGGCGCAGCTCATAAGGAACTCCAAGAAAAACATCAGTCTTTCTTCAGATTTCTATACTTTCTTTCTCATACTTGCTACCCTTTGAAAGCCAAACCCAAACCCCTCTACAAGCCTCAAGGGGACCCTGACATGGCAAGAGTTGTTCTTCGGACCCTCGAATCCTTGGGTCTCTAGAAACAAGGGCTTTCACGCTCGGCTGCGGAACTTGGAGTCCAGAGTTTAGGATCCTCTTCAAACTTCCAGAAAGGTTTAGGGTTTAATGTAGGAACCTGATTAAGAAACCCTGGGTCGTCATTAGGGTTTTTTTATGAATCCTACTATTTTGGGGTTATAGGCCCAGGGGTTCCTAATCAGGTTCCTACATTAGGATCTAGACTTGGGAAATCATGATTTAGGGTTTGGGGTTGAGTAAAATCTAAAGGAGTTTCTCCGGGTTCGGGCTTCCAAATAAGGACGTGGAGAATGCGTGGTGAAATGTGAGGGACATCAGCATTAGAAGCGTGTCTTTGGTACATCATACTAGAAGTCCCATAGGGATCCCTAAAAGATACTTTCACTAATCATTCAGGCACCAGTAGTAGGGTGTTCACGAGGTTCCTAGGATTCAGGGATGTTCAGAAAATTGTTCGAGGTTTACATGAAGACCCCTGACGTGCTGAAACTCCTACTTACGGTTTTAGACTTAGTTCTGTGCGATCCAAACCGTTTGGGGCTTAGGGTTTAGAGTTTAGAGCTTGGGGCTTAGGGCTTAGGATTCAGGGTTTAGGGCTCAGGGTTCAGGGTCCAGGGTTTAAGGTTTAGTCGGTGATATCAATGCGACACAAGCCCAGGCCGAACACAAGAAGAGCTTGGTCTCTGACACCCTCTGCCTATCACAAAAGAGGGGACCCACATAGACAAGGGCTTCGGACTTGAAAAAAACGCATGCAGAGGGACAGCTAGGGGAGACTGCTACTGAGCATTCAGACCTCTATGTCAAACTCAACCGCGAAATTTCGAAGAACCTCAAACCGAAAGGAAGATGATTTCAGGGAGCATAGAGCCGCCAGCCTTCTAAAAGTTGAATCGCCGCACTCGTGGCTGCTGCCTGCGCAGGCCGTAACCCAATTGCTCAAGCCCACGAAGTTTGACGGTTCAAAGACTTGTAATACAAGGCTTAAAAGGAACTCCAGAAAGTTGGAATATGGATTAATGGTAGGAGCCCCTGTAATTTACCTTAAAGGGGTTACGATAACGATACTCAAACTTTCTGGCTTCTACTGTATGGTCTTTCTGGCTATGAGGGTGTGGGGTTTACGGTTGAGGATCAAAATACGAAGCCCTAAGCCGTAATACACTTCCGTGACATGGAACGCCAATGGGGCTCATGGCAAGTTCGCACCCCGTCCCCATCCTTGCGTGGCAAGGGGGGTTTAGGGTTTAGGGTTTAGGGTTTAGGGTTTGGGATGTCTGACAAACTCAAGGACCCTCAGTGGTGTAACATTTCGGGCATTGGGTTTAGAGTTGGGGGTTGGCAACCTTTCAACTAGAGATTTCAGGTCTCATCCCCTGAGTTTGCATGTAGGCCAACATCGCATCCCTGAGTAGCTGGAAAGACCGCAAAAAAAAGGAACTCAGGGTGGCAGGACAAGCATCCTCAACACCAATGAACTGTGGAAGACCCCGCGGGGTTTGGGATTTAGGCGGCTCGGGGGTGTTGGTGTCGCTGCTGTTGCTGTTGCGGTTGAGGTTGCGATTGTGATTGTGGTTGTGGTTGCGGTCGCGGTCGCGGCTGGGGTTGTGGCTGTTGTTGCAAACGTGGTTGTGGTGGTAGTTGTTGTTGTTGCTGTTCTGTTCAGGAGGGAGAGCTGCTGTTGCAGGTGGTTGGTGTCGCAATTGTGTTTTCGTTACTGTTCTGTTACGGCAGGTAGTGGCGCGCGGAGGAGCAGGAGGAGCAGACCCTACATTGCCCTACATCCTGCGACTTGTGCAACCTGTTCTTGGGCAAATCATCACTACGTGTCGGGCCACGAGTAACACGAAGCCTTCACTGACAGTCTTTGGACCTACGAGCCTGTAAACCCCAAGCAAAAGGTAAACCGTGGCAGATCTTCTCAAGCCCCGATACCTGCTTGGACTCAGTTGCACGCACTTTTCGCAACCGCGCGAGAGCCCCAACATGAGCAGGTACATGGGCGAGCGTACAAAAAAATGTCGTACACCTACCAAACAGAGCAATTGCTCTGTACACGAAGTGCTGCAGGAGTCTGGAAAAACTGTCACGAACTACAAATATGCTTGCTGCTTCGTAGTGCAGCAAGCGGTCCTGATTACTACCGAGCGCGCTAACAGTGCGGGCGATTCTTCCGCCGCTGTGAAACAATTAAAAAGTGCCGTAACACATTGGCCATGGAAAATGCGCAGCTGCGTTCACCGCAGATTCTTCTACTTTTGGGCTCAGTCTTCGTATGTTTGCCACATCGTGTTTTGGATAAGCTTCTCAAGTCTGTCAGCCTGAACTGGGTCGCGAACTGCGTTCAGAAGGCTAGGCAGAGACAACAAGCAGCGGGTATCCATGCTTGTGGTCTGCAAAGGCATTGGCACAGGCAGCTCTTCGTCCATCTCTGTGTACCGTGCGATGAACTTCTCTGTTGCCTCAACCGACAAGCCCAGCGTTACCACAATCTGTCCTCCTGTGCTCTGCTCGCCTGCCCAGCAAGATGCGCGGTGAAAAATTTTCTCTGTTCGCGCAACGACATAGAGGTGGAGATTGTGTCTTTTGCTTTGCTTGCTGAAGTCTTCGATGATTGGCTTTGCTTCTCGCCAGTCCGCGATGAGCAACGTGCTTCCCGCCCTGCCTTCCAACCAACGAAGGAAGTCCATGGACTTCTTGTGACACACGAACTTGCATCCAGGAACAGAGGCTGCACACTGCTTCAATTGCTTGCGCACATCACTTTGCTCGTGCTTCAAGCAATGCTCGAAACACCAAACCAACCAAACACGTATTTCCTGCTTCGCCGGCTTGCGAGCCAGCGCCATTCAAGCCGGCCTGCTGCTGCCTTAGGCAGACAGAAAAAATAGTCTGGGGCCTGGCGCGAACGTGTTCTCTGGAGCCTACACGAACGCGAGTTTCACCAAAGTAATGATCCATGGAACCCTAAGCAGTACGACTCCGGCTACACCCACCCCCTGACAAGGGACTCACAAGCTAAGCGTACAAAACCCTTCTAAGCCCTTGATAACCAACCCCACCAAAAAAAACCTTAGATCTAAACAGTCACCATATAGGAGTTTCCGAAAAATTACGGGTACCTTGTTCCGGGGCTTTTGTAATAAGGATCCTACTATTTAGGGCACTATAGTGGGGTCCCCCTATTTTCGGAATCGGCAGAGGTAACAGGAAGGCCCACGGCTGTTTCGGAACAAATCTGTCATCTCTCTTTAACCTGTACATGTTAACCCAGAGCCCCGGGAGGATCTAGAAAGTAGATCCCCTAATTTGGGCCCCTATACTACTAAGGGTACTTTATAGGAACCCCCATTAAGGGATCTACTTTCTAGATCCTCCCGGGGGTCTGGGAATGGGTTTGTAGGGGTTTGGGGGTTTAGGCTAGGGGTTTGGGTTTGGGTCCAAGGGTTTTTGGTTTAGGAGTTTGAGAGCTGTGAGGCATAGGGTGTCGCGGTTTGAAGGCATTAAGGTCCAGGGCTTTTTGATGAGACCCAAAACCCAACACTTGACAGAAATCCTGGTGGAACCTGAAAAGAAGCCCTGCAGGTTTCGTTCCCAAAACCAAAACCCCTTGGAATCCTCGCAGAAACATGTTAAGAGCTTTGGGAGCCCTTTGGAAAGAAGTAACCTAAACCCTTAACCGGAGCCCGTTGGAAAGAAGAACCCTGCCTCGTTCAACGCAGGCGGTGCGTAGGAGGCCACCGGGGTCCGAGCTTCCCTGACGGCCTCCTGGGGTCAATAGGGTTTAAGGGTTTAGGATATATATATATATATATATATACATATATATATATATACATATATATATATATACAGCCATAATAAGGGACCCCATAAAATACTGGTGGTAATGATTCAGGTCTCTAAATTGTGCAAACGGGGTTCTATAGAGGCACAGGGTTAAGGGGGTTAGAGTTTCAAGGCGGTGCCCTTGTTGCGAGAGGGCTGCCATAGCGGTTCTACAAAGGTTTAGGGCTTAAGTGTTCTAGAGTTTCGGGTTGAGGGCTTAAGGGTTCTACGAAGATTCTACACAGCGTTGGGAAAGCCGAGGAAGCTACGCTTGCTTTTTGCTTAATCTTCGAAGCCAATAGAAGATTTGTTGGGGGTGTTTGGTTTATAGGGCTTTCTAACACAGCTTTCATAAGAGTGGGGCAAGCGTTCTGTTAGAGTTTTGATAAGGGTCTTATACAAGTGTTAGCAGAGTGCACATTGAAGAGAGTTTGATACAGGGCCTTGCGAACAGGGGTCCGCCCATGCTTCTGCCATTAGCCTTCTTATGGATTGGTAATTAGGGTTAGGAGTTCAGGGTTTAGAAGCGTTTCAATGAGAGTCGCCCCCGTAGCATCCTCCCTCTGATCGGCTCCGAAACCGCCAACTGCCACAAGGATCGTTTCCCAAACACGCCCCATCCCAGTGGCACTGGACGCGCCACCATGTGGGAGATTCCGAAAATAGGGGGCGCCAATGTAGCACCCTAAATAGTAGGATCCATATTATGAGGACCCCAAAGTAAGGTACCCCCAATTTTCGGAAACTCCCATGTAGCGTCCAAGAAATGACACTTCTTCTGGAAATGCCCCAAAGCGGCAAGGGTCAGGAAGACCATGGCCCTGACAAATTTAGGGTTTCCTTTAAGGGGTACTACTTAAAGGATCATGGGACATAGTAACTAGGGTCAGAATAAGGGTAACCATACTTATAAGCCCAATTAAGGTACTCATAACCTTTCTTACTAAGTCCCATGATCCTCCAAGTATAAGTGTTCCTTTAGGGGATCAGGGAACTCTAGGGCATGAAAAGGTTAGCAAAGCGAGACTCGCCACCAGGAGGTACTATAAGGGTTCCTTTGAAGGGTACTTTCTGGGTTCTTTTAAGGGGTACTCTGAGGGTTCCTTTAAAGGGTACTAAAAAACCCTAAACCCTAAACCCTAAACCCCAACACCCTAAACCCCTAAACCCTAACACCCTACCATCCTAGCAAGGCGGAAACGGATTTGAGACGGTGCCTGAACCCAAATAACCTACCTTTTCAAGGACCTATATGGGAGTTTCCGAAAATTTGGGGTGCCTTGTTTTGGGGATCCTTATAATATGGGCACTACTATCTAGGGTACTAAATTAGGGCCCCCTATGTTCGGAAACTCCCAGATAAAGAAGTCATAGAAGGGGGAACCCTAAACCTCTAAACCCCAAAAAGTAGGTTGCTTGGGGTCACTTAGGTTGTCCTTGTCGGCCCGGATGATCCGGTTGAGCTTCAGGACCTGCTCACCTGGGAAACGATGAGGGTTTAATAAAGGGCTTCTCCGAAGAACAAGGTTCCTTGAAAGGGGTTTAGAAGGATTACTATAAGGGATAATTTTTTAATTGAGTATAGGGGCCTAAATAGTTAGAATAAGGCTGCTTTCAAGGGTTCCTTTTTTAAAGGGGTCTATAAGGGATCTATAGTAGGGTTCTATAATATCTGGGCCTTAATAACTAGAATAAGGTTTTGGGGCCCATTATGCTATATAGTCTAACGAGGTAACCCCAGAGGGTTTAGGGTGTTGGGATAAGCTCCATTTAGCCATCACACAAAGCAACATCTTTGCGGATCCCCTGGGGTTTGTGCATGTTTCATAAAACTGACATGGGCTCGGGTCGGAGGACCTAGGGATTCATACAGAGGGCTCAAGAACCAAAATAGGCTCTCAGGGTCTATTCGAAGTAATCACCCTTCCGGCCTCTAAAGGAACCCTAAAACCACAGAGTTAAAACCCTGATAGGAACCCTTACAGACCCCCTCAAAGGCACCAGCTCCTGTAAGGCCTCCCTTAAGGCTCTTTTGAAGCGCTCCCTTGGAGGCTCCTCAAGGGCTTGGGAGATCCTTCAGGGCTCCTTCAATTCTGGCCAACTTGTCGGGTAGTCATGGGGAACTAAAGGTTAACCTTTTTGGATATATAGGGATTATATAGGGTCTACACTACCCAAACATGTCAAAAGGTTACCTACTCGACTACTAGGCTGGGCTTCTGAGCTCAAGGGGTCTCAAGACTTGGGATTGATGGCTTTGAGGGACCAGGGTTCCAGATCTAGGTGCAGTAGATGTAGGGTTTAAGGGCCCTGGCTTTAAGATTCAGGGTTTAGGGTTAAGGGCACGCTGCTACATGTCCCTCCACATCGAACACCACGCGCCAAACCCTAAACCTTTTGATGGGACCCCAAACCCTCATTCTTTTTCAAGACCCCAAACCCTAAACCTTCTAGCCGATGCCCTAAACCTTCAAACATTCGCCACCCTAACTGAGATCCTGAGCCTTAATATAGGGGCTAAGGAACCCCCAGAATAGTATTGGTAATTATTTAAGCCCCTGTACTAACTTATAATAGCCTTATAGTAGCTAGCCGTTATACACCTTTAAAGGAACCCTACTGGTAGCTCCTACAACACCTTCCAAATGTGACAGGCCAGTCGCTCTCCGAGATCTTCCGTCCCAGAGTCTCCTGGCGGGGTGGACTCTCCAAGTCGCCATTACTAAGGGCTGTTCAGCTTTTAGGATTTAGGGTTTAGGGTTCGGGGTTTAGGGTTTAGGTTTTAGGGTTTAGGATTCAGGGTTTAGGGTTTAGGATTTTGAGTTTAGGGTTTAGGGTTTGGGGTTTGGGGTTTAAGGTTTGCCGTAGAATGGCGCATAAGCGGAAGTATCTCGCGACACTGTGAAATTTCGAGTGCGTCGTCTTCTGACGATTGGTTATTGGAGCCTGATTGTGGATGGCTCATCTTTTAACTCTCCCACCCCACGCGTCTAAGGCGGCCAAACCACCCAAACCTATTCCTTTTAGGGTTTAGCACCTAAACTCATTCTATAGTTTTCTTTATTTCTTCAACCGAAGCGTTTAAAGCAGCCACACGAAAAGAGAGGAGGGGTTCTCGACTTTGTGAACCAGGGCAGGGCAGGGCAGAGGGCAGAGGGCAGAGGGCAGAGGGCAGAGGGCAGAGGGCAGAGGGCAGAGGGCAGAGGGCAGAGGGCAGAGGGCAGAGGGCAGAGGGCAGAGGGCAGAGGGGAGAGGGGAGAGGGGAGAGGGCAGAGGGCAGAGGGCAGAGGGCAGAGGGCAGAGGGCAGAGGGCAGAGGGCAGAGGGCAGAGGGCAGAGGGCAGAGGGCAGAGGGCAGAGGGCAGAGGGCAGAGGGCAGAGGGCAGAGGGCAGAGGGCGAGGGCAGAGGGCAGAGGGCAGAGGGCAGAGGGCAGAGGGCAGAGGGCAGAGGGCAGAGGGCAGAGGGCAGAGGGCAGAGGGCAGAGGGCAGAGGGCAGAGGGCAGGAGGGCGCAGTGCTTGCTGGGGGTCCCTTTCCGGAGGAGGCCCAAATGCCTCCAGAGCGGAGGTTGGGGTTTGGGGTTATTACTTTTCTGGGGACCAGTACTGGTCCCGACAAGAACCTGCTCCTGTACGGGGCTTGACGTGGGTGCTACCGCCGTGGAAAGGCGGGCAAGCGTATGGGGTCGCTCTGCGCCATCGAGGTCGAGGGGCTTAAGCGCCGCCCACCCACGGAGGTGGGCGGCCTAGGCCTTGAGTTTAGGGTTTAGGAGGCTGCAGGCTTAAAGGTTCTGGGGATTCCAGCGTAGCCTTCTTGGGAGTGGCCTGGTTTTTCGGTAAGTTTAGGGTCAGGCCAATGTGATGAAAGGTTTAGGAAAGCCGCCTGAAGCCTGAAACTGTTCGTATGTTGCAAGTACCCCCAACACGAAACCCAAATTCACGCGCACCACTGTTCCTAAACAGACCTTGCATACACTGACCAAGGCCTTAATGCAACCGAATGTCCTGATGTAATTCTGGCAAAGGCTACCACACCCTATAGAACCCGATGCAAGCCTCTATGAGACCGTTGCAGGACCTGACAAAGCCCTGCAAAGCCCTACGAACACCTCAATTTAGGGCCAAAGATTACGATGCCTCTGGCTGGTGCGTCACCAAGCTCATGCTGTTGAGGTTTAGGGTTTAGAGGTGTAGGCGTGGCAGTAGAACGACCGTCAACATTAGGGCCTTGGCTTAGGGTTCTATGAACGGTCTAGACTTATCAGATTTCGATTGCCCTGAAGGTCACGCATTAGATTAAGACCGTCGAAAAGCATTTCCGAAGTTTTCGAAAATTGTAATGGATCCTACTATTTAGAGCGCAATATTGGAGCCCCCGTATACCCCTTATAACACTAAACCCTCGTACAACCCATTACGCACAACCCCAAACCCTAAACTCTGGTTACCCTAAACCCCCCCCTAAGGGTCCTTGTGATCCAAGGGTAAAAGCAGGGACCCCTAGGTATATACTCTTAATATGGCTATTATATACCCAATATATAGCCCATTATAGGGTAGGGGTCCCCGTTAAGGGTCCCTCCTTTTCCCCTTTGATATGAACAATGTCTTGAGAAGGCGAAACTTGCGACCCGCTGTTCGCACCGTCCTGCGAGCGGGATCGTGTCATCGTCCCGCAGGGCTTCGTAGTGCTTGTGAGTCCTGCGGTTTAGGGTTTTTTTGAGGGGCTTACTGAAATGCGGTTTAGGGTTTAGTGTTTAGGGTATAGAGTTTAGGGTTTAGAGTCTAGGGTTTAGAGTTTAGGGTTTGGAGTTTAGGGTATAGAGTTTAGGGTTTGGAGTTTAGGGTTTAGAGTTTAGGGTTTAGAGTTTAGGGTTTAGAGTTTAGGGTTTAGAGTTTAGGGTTTGGAGTTTAGGGTTTAGAGTTTAGGGTTTGGAGTTTAGGGTATAGAGTTTAGGGTTTAGAGTTTAGGGTTTAGAGTTTAAGGTTTAAAGTTTAGGGTTTGGAGTCTAGGGTTTAGAGTTTAGGGTTTGGAGTTTAGGGTATAGAGTTTAGGGTTTAGAGTTTAGGGTTTAGAGTTTAGGGTTTGGAGTTTAGGGTTTAGAGTTTAGGGTTTGGAGTTTAGGGTTTAGAGTTTAGGGTTTGGGGTTTAGGGTTTAGAGTTTAGGGTTTGGAGTTTAGGGTTTGGAGTTTAGGGTTTGGGGTTTTGGGTTCAGGCCCCCCATCTTGACAGTCGCCGTGTAAGACATTCTGCGACATGATCTAGCCGACACCGACTGGGCATCATGGAATGTACGTGGAGACATGTAAGATATGTAAATACATGTATACACATATATTCATATAGAACTGTTTTTTTGCTTGCTCACTTGTTTAGTTGTGCTAGCCTCCGGAAGCCAACGCTTCGATTTTAGTACAAGCTGATCCTCGGTGTCATGCATGAAGCGCTGCGGAATGTACACATAATCAACTCGTGCTTGGACACTCAACACCAGCCTCCTGTACCAGTCAACTTGGCCAATCAGAGATGTCTGTAGTAGCTACATTCTCCAAGCACACGCCGTGGTATGGTCGACAAAAGTCGCCGGCAAAAGCAAGGGCGTGAGGGGTAGCGAGTTTCCGCTTTGCCGGCGGATGGACGTCGCCATCCGCTCCCTAAGAGAGCCAGCTTCTAGACCCCCGAAGATGCTGGAAGACACAAACATAGGCATTCCTCAGCCCTGCGATGGAAGACGATTGAATTCAAATTGAAGCCCTAAATCCCCAACCCTATAGCTTAAGCCTTAAGTACTTCTGCTCCGTCATCGAAACAAGGCTTCAATCAAGAGCACAAGCTTCCGTTCCGAATAACGTTAACCAAGTCGCAGACGGCAGAAGCAGTGGCGTCGCAGTAGCAGCAACAGCACCGTCCAAATGCAGCATGTGGAACTGCTGAATGGGCGTGAAGCACATGTCTAATATGCGGCCTGAATAATCAGAATAGGGTTTTGTGCCCAATTATACTATAAATATATTTACACCAGCGTAGACCCCAAACAGAATGCATCGAATCATGCAGGTTCAAGTTGGAACGTGTTGGAACCCGATCTGGCTTCACAAGCAGATGCTGCGAAAGAATACGTAGACATATGGACTAGTTTGTGCAAAAGAAGAATGGGTAGTGATGTCATTCGCACGAGAAGGAAGCGTTCTTTTTTTGAAAAAAGAACCCCGTGAACAAAAGGTTTTGTTTGTGGTGGGCACTCATAGTTGCACCGAGTAAATGCTCCTTCTTGCAGGTTCAAGTTGGAACGTGTTGAAACCCAATCTGGCTTCGCAAGCAGACGCTGCGAAACAAATTTTTAGACAATTGGACTATTTTTGTGCACAAGAAGAATGGGTAGAGATGACATCCGCACGAGAAAGAAGCGTTCATTTTTTTGAAAAGAACGCCGTGACCAAGGAGTTTTGTTTGTGGTGGGCACTCATAGTTGCACCGAGTTTGCTCCTTCTTGCAAGTTCAAGTTGGCACGTGTTGGAGTGATGACATCCGCACGAGAAAGACGCGCTCTTTTGTTGGAAACAAGAATGCCGTTACCAAAAGGTTTTGTTTGTGGGGGCCACTCATGCGGCCCAACCGTCCAACCCAGGAGCCCAGAAAGGAAACATGAAGGGAGCCCAGTGGGAGCCCAGGCCCTTTGCCGCGGTCCAGCCATCCAACCCAGAAGAACATTTGATGGGAGCCCAGCCCTTTGGGCGCGGCCCAGCCGTCCAATCCAGGAGCCCAAAACGGAAACATGAAGGGAGCACAATATGGGCCCAGGCCCTTGTGCGGCCCAGCCGTCCAACCCAGGAGCCCAGAAAGGAAACATGAACGGAGTCCAAAGGCCCTTTGCCGCGGCCCAGCCATCCAACCAGGAGCCCAAAAAGGAAACATGAAGGGAGCCCAATGCGAGCCCAGGCCCTTGTGCGGCCCAGCCGTCCAACCCAGGAGCCCAGAAAGGAAATATGAACGGAGTCCAAAGGCCCTTTGCCGCGGCCCAGCCATCCAACCAGGAGCCCAAAAAGGAAACATGAAGGCCAATGCGAGCCCAGGCCCTTGTGCGGCCCAGCCGTCCAACCCAGGAGCCCAGAAAGGAAACATGAACGGAGTCCAAAGGCCCTTTGCCGCGGCCCAGCCATTCAACCAGGAGCCCAAAAAGGAAACATGAAGGGAGCAGGATCCCTTATCCGCGGCCCAGCCGGGAGCCCAGGCCCGTGGCTGCGCCCCAACCATCCAACCCAGGAGCCCAAAATGGAAACATGAAGGGAGCCCCAATGGGAGCCCAGGCCCGTTGCCGCGGCCCACGCATCCAGCCACCGCGGCCCACCTTTTTTCTGAGGAGAGAACCCCAAACCCTACCTGTTTGGGAATAAAGAACTGCCAAAATAGTGTTTGGTAATTCTTTTGCCCCTATAGTGTCCGCGGCTGCCGGGGTTCAGATATCAGAGTTACGCGATGAAGGGGATCTCTACGCGAAAAAGAGCATGCGATGCAAGGCCGAAGCCCTGAACCGCCGGATCTCCAGGGGATCTCAAGCGTGATCTACTTAAAGGATCATGGGAATAAGTAACTAGGGTTATAATTAGGGTAACTATACTTATAACCCCAGTTGAGGTACTTATAACCTTACTTACTAAGTACCATGATCCTTTAAGTAATCAGACCCAAGCAGGCTGCCACCAAAGACCGTCATCAACACAGGCCGAAGGCCACAAACGCAAACATGGAGCCCCAAACCTTCTTGAAACCGTATAGAAACCTACCAAGAAGCCTGAATCACTTACAGCATCCCTTTGTAAGAAACCCTAAGCCCCTGTGTGGCCCCAAGCCCAGACCCACGTTTGGGTCGCGTAGAGCCTAGTCTGGAATCTTGGCTTTAGGGTGTAGGAGGTATGGTGCTTACGAAAGTTTACGTAAGTGTTCTATGAGGGCTTTCTGGGGTTTCATCTGTTGTTATCAGGGCCTTCGGTTTGAGGGCGGAGGGTTCAAAGCTGCAAAGTGCACCAGAGAGCCCGAAGTCCTTCGGCATCCTCCAGCGCATCCACTGAGATGAAAGTATGCTTTACTTTCAACATGGGCGCCATGAGATGGCTTTGCCAAACTCAGGAGTATTCAAAACACTGGCTACCTCCGGGCCCCTACGTCGGAGTACAGCCAAATGGCTGCGGTTTCAAGCACAAGTAGGGTTTAGGGTTTAGGGGTTTAGGGTTTAACATACGGGACATAAGGCTGAGGGCCGTCAAACCCCAAAATATCAGGGCCTTAATTATCAGAATAGGGTTCTAAACCCTAAACCCTCAACTTTCAGTGGAGAAGGCGACAACCGCGAGACCTCAAAGCTAGATCGTGGACCGGAACATGGGGCCCTATCGAAGGATAGAGTTCTTTTAAAGGGCTCCTTTTCCCCGACCCCCGGGAGGATCCAGAAAGTAGATCCCTTAATGGGGGTTCCTATAAAGTACCCTTAGTAGTATAGGGCCCCAAACTAGGGGATCTACTTTCTAGATCCTCCCTGGGGGTCCGGGTTAAAGGGGTCGATAAGCGTTACTATACGGGCTACTATAAGGGCTTAGAGTAGCGGTCTTAATAAATTGAATAATGTTTTGGGGCCGGCCCACTATACTGTATTAAAAATAAGGAACCCCCAAAGTAGGATCTTTAATCATTAAGGCCCCTATATTACAGCCCATACCCAGCAGACGCGGTTCTTTACTGGTGTTCTTCCGGGATGTGTCGGGCCCGCTTGCGCGGGCGGCGCTCGCTGTGGGGCAGCTGCGCGCAGCGACGGCAGACACAGTATGTGCAGCATCTGATGTGTGGGCCAGATTTTGCATCACTCTTTGCCCAAATCAAGAACTCCTCCAGATCGTCGCCACATACCTGAGCACAGCAGCAGAACCCTGAAACGACACGAATCCCTCACGTGGACCCTGGCAACAAAAGCGGTTCAGCAGAGACTGCTCTTCGCAGGCTGGTGGCCAGAAAGTCTCTCGCCGGCATCCCACGGCCAGATCGCCCGCAGCTGTCGCAGGCCAGCCTCTCGCGCAGGAGGTCGGCTTTGGCCGTGGCGGCCATCGGCCGGAGAAGGGCACAGCAGACCGCGCAGCTGTGCTCGCCAGGAGGTGCCGAGGGCCCCAGCAGCCTTTGGAGCCCCCAGAGTGCCAAGGGCGATGCGGCTTGGGCCCCCCAAGCCGCCCCCTCCTTCTCCGGGGTCCAAGGCGTCGGAACGGAGCGCTCCATCTCCGCACGTTTCGGCATCGGTGGACGAACCGCCGGAGGCAGCGGCAGCGAAGGCACTGCCGGAGGCAGCGAAGGCAGTGGCAGCACGCCCGGCAGGCTGTTGTCGGAAAGGTCGCCGTCCGCCTCGTCTTTCAGCGCCGTGGACCGCAAGTTGTACCTCTTGACAGGCATCACGGGCTTGGCTGGTTGACGCTTCCTCTTGGCCTTCGGCGCCGGGACCACAGGCTTGGTAAACGCGGCAGCTGCCGGTGGGGCAACGGGCACAGCATGAGCCGCCGAGAGGGGTTTGATGATGGACACTTCGTCGTCGTCTATCACCTCGATGTCCACCGGCGCTGAGTTGACTTCGGCAACATCCGGCGCAGCACCTGGGCCCAGCGCTGAAATTCTGACATCCGGTGAGTTGCAAGTAGCATGGGACATCATGAAACGACCGTGAAAACGAAAATAGTAGCATACAGGTCAGATGATTGAAGCAATACTTACCAGGACTACAACTGTTTCCTGCAACGAATTTAATTACAACAAAAACCCAAGCCGTAAAAAACCCTTAACCTCTATGCGTCCGTGGAGAAGAGGAAAGTGCCAGCCTCGGTACCCCTAACCCCCCAACCCAACCGTCAAGCCCTCTGCCCTAGACACCTGAAAAAAAAAACGAAGCCCCAAGATAATATGACCCTTATGGCAACCCTCACAGTGACCCTTCCCCTCATCATCCTTAAAGCAACGGGTAGAGTCCTCCTACAGCCGACCCTAATAGACCCGAAACCCGAAACCCTGAAGCCCGCACCATAAACCCGAAGCCGTCAAACCCGAAACCCTAACCCCTAAACACCTATAAATCCCTTATAGCACCCTTATGGATCCCTTCAAAGGAACCCTGGGAGGCCTTATCCCTTTAAAGGGACCCTTAAAAGTCCTCAAGGGGCCAGGGACCGAGTCTCTTCCAGGTGATGCGCTCCGATGGAAGGCCACGGATCTCCCAACGAAGCTCCTGGGGATCTGGTATGCTTGGGGGATCATGGGACTTAGTAAGTAAGGAGAAAGGGAACCTTAAAAGGGATCCTTAAAGGGCTCCTTAAAGGGATCTAGAGGGTTTAGGGTTTTTTGTCTACTTGGGGGATCATGGGACTTAGTAAGTAAAGTTATAAGTACCTTAATTGGGGTTATAAGTACAGTTATCCTAATTATAACCCCAGTTACTAAGTCCCATGATCCTTTAAGTGGGGCCTACGAGCTCCGAAAACTCGGTGCTACTTCAAAGAAACCAAAAAGGCTTCTATTAGGGCTTTGGAGTTTCCGAACATTTGGGGCTACTTTGAAGGGATCAAAAAGGGTTCTACAAGGAGTTTAGGGTTTGGGCGTTTCCGAAGATTAGGGGCGCCGTTAAAGGGATCAAAAAGGGTTCTGTAAGGGGTTTAGGGCTTGGGAGTTTCCGAGAATTATGGGCTCCGTTAAAGGGGTCTATTAGGGTTCTGCTCCGTTAAACAGATCTACTAGGGCTCTATAAAGGGTTCAGGGTTTGGGAGTTTCCGAAAATTAGGGGCTCCTTTCAACAAATCTACAAAGGTTCTGTATGAGGTTTAGGGTTTAGGGTTTGGGAGTTTCCGACAATTTGGGGGTACCTTCTTTTGGGGTCCCTAATAAGGATCCTACGGTTTAGGGCACTATGGTAGGGTCCCCTATTTTCGGAAAATCCCATATGGTATACAGTGGGTTTTACGAGGGTTTTATAAAAGGGGTCATAACGAGGGCTTGGCATAGGTTTTGATAATTAGACAGCTTCTACAAGGTATTGGATGCTTGGGGTTGCCGAAAGGGCTTAAGGGCTTTAGGGTTAAGGGTTCTTTGATAGGCCTGCAAACGCTTTGATAGGTCACTTTGCAACAGGATCTACCTGGCGGATCAGGGCACCTCGCGAGTAGGCCATGGGGTTACAAGTACCTGCAAAGAGGGTTAGAGCATTCACAAGCCTTCACAGAACCCCCTTACTGAACCCCATGAACCTACAACCAGACCTGTTGAACTTCAACTCAACAACTGCATACCATCTCCTCTTAAAGGATCATGGGACTTAGTAACTAGGGTTATAATTAGGGTAACTATACTTATAACCCCAATTAAGGTACTTATAACCTTAATTACTAAGTCCCATGATCCTCCAAGCTTTCTATCTCAAAACCTGGTCAGGTTCCCATTATCGTTCGTCCGGCCCTTTCTAAGCCCAACCTGCACCCCGTTTTTTAGAATATGTCTCCAACCTATTCTTCAAACCACGAGACACTCCTCCGTTTGGTAAAACCCGAAGCCTCAAAACAAACGACTGATTCGGAGTCTTCGCTTGAGCTACACCCATTAGAGCTCCTTTAAGAGAGGAAACAGAAAGGAAAGCACTTTGCAACGGTAGAAAGGCTGTATGTACAGTACAGCAACATGCGGGAGTTTCCGAAAACAGGGGACCCCAATATAGTTGCCTCAATGGTTTAGGGTACTCCTACTTTTCGGACACTCCCGTGTAACGACAAACATCCCAAACACCCTAGAAACCCTCAACCCAGAAGCCTGAAAGCATGATACAGGGGCCTTAGCAATTAGAATAGGGTCTTGGGGCCCATAATGCTATAATTGTAATAAGGAACCCCCCAAAATGGTATTGGTGCTTATTTCAGCCCCTCTCCACGTGAGCCGTTGTCAGACCTCAAGCCCCCCGTAAATCCTGCTAAAAAGAACACGCCAACTATCCTAAATCCCCGTAAAATCCTACACCCTAAACCCTAAACCCCAAACCTCCAAACAAACCCTGAGCACCAAAACGCCCTCAACCCTGTCTAAAATGCACAGGTCCGAATGCGTTGCACAGCGAGCAAAACGATCCTCTCGTAGCCGCTATGTAAGTATACACGATTTCCGAGGCCCTTCTAAACGTCTCGATGTACCCCTAAACGCCCTGAACCCTTAGCCCTCAACCCCAAAACTTCCAGGGATCGGTTGCATGGACCTTCGCACGATATTCGCCAAGCACCAGGAGCCCGTCCTCACAGAACCCTGCTGAAGGTTTAGGACTTCGTCACCAGCACAGGAAACGGTTAGGGTGCTTTTCGCAGGGTTTTATGACTCCTGCTTATCGGGCTTCATATGCCCAGAGGGCTTTGTGGGCGTCTTTCGGGCTTGCTAGAGGTTTTAGGAGCGTTCTTACAGGGGCTTGTGTAAGAGTTTTCTTTGGGTTTGGCTATAAGGTTCGTTTTCAAGCTTCTCGGGCTTCCGAAGTGTGAGGTTTTGAGGAATCCGTATAGTAAAGGGGTGTTGACGGTTATGGGCTGCAGAATTCTTCGGCGATGAGGTTCCTGTTAACATTCTGAGAAGGTTTAGCGACACCTGAGGGTTTTTAGTATAGGGAGTCTATCATGGAATATTTCTGCAGCAGCTGTGGATACTACCACGAACTACTCGAACCCCTTACATTCTCGGCTTAGGGCTGAGCGCTTCGAGGTCACCTAAGCTGAGTCTGGAAGTAATCTGCGGCTTGGTGACGGCTTTAACCCCAAAACCCGCAAAGCCCCAAAACCTAAAACCCGACATACTAAGACCCTAACGCCCCAAAACCCTGGACCTCTGAACCGCGAAAGGTTTCGAGTTGTTTGTTAGGCCCTTTTCTGTCGAGGTTTGGGATAGACTGCAAAGCCTTTAGGAGGGCTTCGGGCGCTTGGGGTTTTTGGGGTTTTCGGGTTGGGGACCTGACCTGGGGCCCAGGGTTCGAGGCTGTGGACTGACGGTTTCCCTCTGGGGGCCAAGACTTACAGGGAAATTTCAGAAAGTTGGAATATGGTTTCAGGGTAGGATACCCTATAAGTTACCATAGAAGGGTTAGGATAATGATATTCTAACTTTCTGGCTTCTACCTTAAGGTGTAACATCGAGGCCTTACTTGGAGGATCACGGGACTTAGTAAGTAAGGTTGTAAGTACATTAATTGGGGGTTATAAGTATAGTTACCCTAATTATAACCCTAGTTACTTTAAGTACCGGTACTCGTAGAGAAGCTCTGTGGGTTGATGCTGCTATAATCGTACCAAAGACCGTAGCAGAGCTTTAGCTATAAGCGGCTTCTCGTACTAACTATCCAGCCCGCTGTATTGCGCAATGTGACCTTCGCGTGTGGAAAAACCCTCTGAGCCGGGCCTTGTACCCAAGCTGAAACTCCTGCTGCAGATCGGAGTAGAACACAGTGGTGCCAGTAACCTTCGCAGAACAAAGACAACGTCTGGAATCCGAAAGGAAGAGAACTTCCTCTCTTCTTCTCAAGAGTGTAGGGTTTAGGGGTTCAGGACTTCGGGTTTAGGGGTTCAGGGTTTAGGAGTTCAGGGTTTAGGGTTTAGGGTAGCCTGCCCATGGTGCCGGATTACCCGAGCCACGACAAGATGCCGGGTTCTAAAAGTTGGGCGCAGCAAGTCATATAGGGGCCTGAATAATTCGAAGAGGGTTTTGGGGGCCCTTATACTATAAAAAAAATGTTGGTAATTATTGAGGCCCTTAAAGTATCCGGAAAAAACAAGCGACACCGCACTGATTCCCACAACCTCATATCTCTGGGGTTCCATGATGGAAGCCCAAATCCCAAATCCGTATGTGAGCCACAATCTCCCTGAAACCGAAACTCTGAATTCTAAGCCATAAACTCCAAACCCCAGCCGGGCCTATAGTTGGAACCTCAAAGCTAGTTTGAACCGTAAACCCTAACCGGCCCATATGTTGAACCTCTACGCTTGAAACCCCAACCGAGCCTATAATTTTTGAACCTTAAACCCTAGCCGGGCCTGCAATTTGAACCTTAAACCCTAGCCGGGCCATTTTTTGAACCTTAAACCCTAACCGGGAACCTTAAACCCTGGCTGGGTCTATTTTGAACCTAAAAGCCCAACCGGTCCCATGGTTTGAGCCTTAAGACCCCAAAGTACTTGGAGGATCATGGGACTTAGTAAGTAAGGTTTAGGGTTCCTTATGGTTCTATAATAGGGTTCCTTAAAGGGCTATAGGGCTTCTATAATGGGGATCATGGGACTTAGCAAGTAAGGTTATAAGTACCTTAATTGGGGTTATAAGTATAGTTGCCCTAATTATAACCCTAGTTTCTAAGTCCCATGATCCTTGAAGTACAGCCTCAGCGATGCCAAACTGGCCCGCATCCCAGTGGCCCTGCAGCAGCGCCTCCGGACGCTGCTTTAGGGTTTAGGGGTTTCGGGGTTTAGGGGTTTAGGGGTTTAGGGGTTTAGGGGTTTCGGGGTTTAGGGGTTTAGGGGTTAAGGGTTTAGGGGTTTAGGGGTTTAGGGGTTTAGGGGTTTAGGGGTTTAGGGGTTTAGGGGTTTAGGGTTTAGGGGTTTAGGGGTTTAGGGGTTTAGGGTTTAGGGGTTTAGGGGTTTAGGGGT